GAATATGTGGTCTCTCATCCATGAAAGCAAATCAACCACTTTGCTGGAATCCTCCCTATCTGAATCAATAGGACTAGTAGTGGTGGTGGTGGTGGTGTCGTCTTGAACGGTGTCGACGTCGAACTCAGGATCAAAGAAGTCCTCAACCCCATGCATGATCACACGCTCATCGCTGTAGATGTTCCAGTCCGTGATCTTGACTTCATTGATAGAAGCAGAAGCAGAACCGTCGCGGCCGGGACGCGTAGTGAGCACGAGGGAGTGGCCGCGAAGGAGAGTGTCGAGCTTGGATTTGAAAGGAAGTGATGATTCAAGAACCTCCCTGTCAAGCTTCGTTGGCACGACGTGATACTGAAGGAGGGACAATGGTGGCTGACCGTACTTGAGAGAGTCGAAAGCGTACTCCGGCGGGCAGAATACGGTGAATGTGGTGGTGTTGTCATGAACTTCGTGGAGCAAAGTTTGAAGAGTCATCTCTAAAGTCAATGCCATGGCTGTGTAGCCTTTGTTGGATAGAGCATCTGAGATCATGCCAATGTTTAACTCACCATGGCTTGTTTTTTGGGCAGCAGTGAATTGTGGCATGAGTGAAAGTGAAAAAAGGAGAATAAAAACGGTGAATGAGAACTTGGAATCCATGAAACACAAAGTGAAAGATGGAACAAGAGGCTATAGTTGATCTAAAGAATACCCTAAAAAGTATACATATATATAGAAAGCGTAAATATTTAATTGTACGAGGACTAGGAAGTGAACTTAAAAGATAATGATTCACACAATTATCTTATAATATTATGATTACTTCATCTTCCACTGACGATATATTTAATAGTGTGAATAATATTTTTTTATGAATATATATTAAAAATCAATAAAAGCTATAGGATTAGCCTATTAGATTTTCCAAATTCCAGTTCATTTGTGATTCTCAAAATTCCGTGAACGCGTTGATAATTAATCATTAGTAAATCCACAGTTGATCAGACAAATAATGCTCACAAGCCACTGGGGCTTGTGGACCCATTATGTTTGAATTGCCTAATGGGCTTTTGTTGTGGATCACTTTTATTGGGCTTACTTTTGTAAATTTCACAATGTGTCGTAGTCCAGGTTTGTACATTTTTATGTTTAATTTTTATAAAATTGTTTAAATATTCGACATTTGTTAGTATATCTTTTTCCTAATCCTAATTGCAACAAGGACTGTGCAACCTCTTCTTTCTTATTTGGTTAATGAGAAATTGCCATTTATTTTAAAACAACCCCATAATCACATTTATGCACCTTTCAACACCATCCCTCATGGTACGACTATCTACACTAAATGGATTAAAGTACTTCTATTATATAATTTCTTTATCAGATATTAGAAATTTAAAAAGTACGAATATTTTTCTGAGGGTGTCCTAGCATTGGATATTAGGACACTTCGCAGATACAGTTCGGACATGTGTCAAATGCAACTAATAAAAATAATTTTATTATACTATTTTTATATTTTTTATTTATCCAACTTGTTTTGAAATTTTTATATTGCCGTATCTATATTCTATCGTACTCTGTTGTGTATTTGTATCCATATTTCTTAATATATACAACCAAACATGTATAGATAAACATAATATTCAATTTTGATCCTTAATTTCGGAAGAATCTGCACCACTCTTGCCTTAAACATAGATGCAACCATACATATACAAATAAAATTTATATAATATACAAACGTATAGACACGTTTGATTCTACATACACAAAGAAAATTACCATGAAAAGGACCTATCATCTTGTTTCTTAGAAGTTTCCCTTTGCTGTATATATCTTGGACTTTATACTCTCTGTCAAATGATCACAACTAACCATTTTTATAACAAACTATAGATTAATAATGCAATGTAGTAGTATTAAAAATCAAATTAAATAATATTGTCGGCAAAGTGTATTTTTTAGGCCTATATATATATTCCAAATGAAGTTACAAGCTAACACACCATTCTATTAGTTTGAAATTAAGGGCCCATTTGAATGTTTACCCTATAGAAACAGTACACGTGTCGATAAATGTGATTGTATTCTCTTAATCATGTCATGATTAAGAGGTCCTAATTAATTAATTATCAATCAAACTCAAAACTTTCTGTTGCTTCAAGGTAGTGTGTCTTTGAAAATTCCAAATCACTTGGGTTGGTTTGGGTTGGTTTGTTAACAACCAGTTGACAACAAATGAATCTTTGATTAATGTTAAAGATTTCCTTGAAATCCTTTGAATAGTTGGTATAGAAAAGTAGCAATTTGGTCCATACTGTGAGGACATGCAATTAATATTTAGATCAAATATACAAAAATCTTTATATATATATATATATATATATATATATATATATATATTAAATTCCCTTATGCGTGACCTAAGTCACATAATCATCTCAATGGGTATCTCTCTCACGTTTCACATCCTTTCTTGTTCATTTTTTAAAAAACTTTTTGTAACTTAATTTTGTCGAATAAGCACTTACTCTCGTTCCCGTTGTCACTTTATGTGACACGTTTCACATCCTTTCTTGTTCATTTTTTAAAAAACTTTTTGTAACTTAATTTTGTCGAATAAGCACTTACTCTCGTTCCCGTTCTCACTTTATGTGACTTAGGCTTTGTTTGGTTAGGTGGAAATAGGTAGAAAAAAAAGGAAAGAAATTTTTTAAATTTTTTTTTAGAATTTGGATAGATAGGAAGAGAAAACTAATCAAAAAATTTGTTTCCATATTTGTTTATTTTCTCTCAAAACTTTTCATGCACAAAACACTGAAAAATAATCTTTTCGCGTGAAATGTTTGTCTTTTTATTTGACATTCCTATTTTATCTATTAAATTAATCGTGAAAAACCAATTTCTTTCTTTATTTTTGTACTGAATTTCTAAGAGGCAAGGCAAGTTCTCTGCAAAACAACTTTTTCTTTGTTTTGTTTTTTTTTGTTTTTTTTTTTTCACCTTTATTTATTTTTTCACAAGTTCATATATAATTGGCAACAACAAAATACAATCAAATCTCTCTAAAAAAAAATTAGTATTGCCATCAGTACATCTCAGTATTTTTTTTTTTAAGTTTCATTTCTTAGTGATTAATAATTATTTCTACTTCTGCCTCAAAAAATATTATCAAGTCTTATTTTAAATATAAATATAATATAAATAATTATATTATTAAATATAATAATCTATTCTTTTACTATTTCTTCGCTAAAAATAGACATCAACAAATACAAATTTATTTATTTATTAGTATTTAAAATTATAAGGGTAAATTTGGTATCTTTAATCAATTTCTTTTCACTTTCATACGATCCAAAATAATAAATTAATATTTTTTCCAAAATTTTAACCAAATGCATGCTGGAAAATAATTTTTTTTTCCATTCACTTCACTTCACTTTTCTTTTATTTTTTATTTCTTTTATTTTTTTACTTATTTCTATTTAACCAAACGGAGCCTTAGAGTATGACACTCTTTTCACCTAACACGCTTTTGTCATTGAACAATCATTTATTTTAAAATTTTAAGATATCAGAGAGAGTGTAACTTTAATATTTAATTTTTTAATAATAATATATAATATATGTATTTACATATTTTCAAAATGCTTTATAATTAATTTCTCTTCTCCCCCTTCTTTCTCCCTATTTTCTGTTCCGCTTAATTATTTTTTCTTTAACAAAGATTAAGGATTCCATATTTTATTTGACTTCGTTTTCTCTCATTTATATTATTATCATTATTTTCCCTTTTCTTCTAACATTAATTTTTTTCTTTAAAAAAAAAAAAATTACTCCCTTAATGAATCGGATTATCTAATTTGATATCTGATTAATAATAGATTGAATATAAATTAATTTATAAATTATTGATCGATTTTTTTTTCCTATTGAATTCGGATGGAATCAAGTCTCATCGGATTCGTTATGTCTTGCTGGAAAGTACATATTACAGTATAATTGTAATTGCATTAAATACAGAGTGTCACCATCTATAATACTATTCCATATACAGATGTGAGTTAAGTCTATGATGTTAGCATGACAGAACCTAGATGCCTAGGCCAACATGAAACAGGCTCTAATTAATTAATCTTTTTGTTGTTATAAAATAAAAATTTATTCTTCTTATATCAGAATATATATATATATATATATACTCCTGTAATATTAGTACAAATTGAGGGTCTGTTACAATCCGATTTTAAACATTTGCACATCTAATTTCTAATTTAATATTTTTGTCTTGAAAAATATACGTTTTTTTAAATATGACATTATAATTATCATTTATAATTATGTACAAATATATATTATTTATCTCTGATTTATATTTAAACATACCAAATACATGCACGTAATACATACCTTTAATAATATTTTATAATCAAGAGGCATTATAGCCTAATATTTATTCACCTCTTTTAAGACTTCTGAAATAAACAACTCATCCCATAATTGTCAGGAGCTTTATGCACATATTATATTGTCATGTAACCAAAATTAAAGAGATCTCATTATAAAAAATTCAACTCAAAAATATAATAAAAAATAAATTTATATAAGGCAGTAAAAAATGATACTAGTATAATTTTATTAAATGAAATTTAATACAAAATTTTAACAATATAATTGTCATATAATTCATTTCAAATATTTACACGAGCGACTTAATATTTGTATTTAATTACGAAAAAACATACAGAGTTGGTGGTTAAGTAATCCATATGATAACATTATAGACAAAAAGTCGAACGGTAAAAAATTAGTTCACTCTTGTTCATTAAAGTTACTGCTACTTATTTAATTAATTTTACCCAATCTTGAATCTCACTTAGCTCTTCACCGTCATAATCGTCAGTATCTTTTTTGTTTTGCACTTATGTTTGATGTCCAGGAAAAGACATTACAGAAATTAAAAAGCATTATAGATTAAACAACAAACAACCCAACAAAGCTACCATTTTAAAAACAATGTAGGACAATCTGATTGGTCTCAAAGGTACATTTCTGATAATCTGTCATCTTCACAAGAGTAACCCAACAAAATTTTTCCCAAGAGTACCTTATAATTTTCTATCTACTCTTTTCTTGTTTGTAAGCCATTTTCTCACCACCTACCACTGATAACTCCATCTTTCCTTCTTATCAAACACCCCCATTACATATCCGTACTTCCTTGTTTGCAAGCACAGTAAATTTGTTGCCATTTTTAGGTTAGGGTTTTTTAAAAAGGGCGCAGGGTGGTGTCAAGAAAGCACCATTCCAGCTTAGATTCAGGCTCACATTTACAAGACCCAGATGGGAAATCCAATCAAACTGGTCATATGAGTTGGTGTTTCTGAGAAATGGGTTGATTTTAGAAGACCCCAGACATGGTTTTTGTTGGGTTTGTTCAGTCAGAGATCTATGATTGGCATTTGGTTCTTTGTCTTGAGAAGATGAGATCTGGGTTCTGAAGTTTGCTCCTGGGAATCCTATCACAACAAGGCAAGTGAACAAAAAAACTTCCTAAAAATTGAAATATATATATATATATATATATATATATATATATATATATATATATATATATATATATATTCTGTTTTATGTTTTTATTAATCTTTTTCTAATTATGTCCATTGAAGACTTCTGTTTATGTTGGTACATGACATGAGAGAGAAAGTGATATTTTGTTGTTGATCTTATTTACATTGTGTTTATATCTCTGTCTGTTCATTTAGTGATTGAATCTGTATTTTTCTATTTTTGGATGTTGTTGCTTATTGCATTTCCTTTTACATGTATTTATTCTCTGTTTTATAAATGCTTTATTCTTTTATATTTATTGTTTTCGCTCTAGCAATTTATTTGGCTTTGAAAGGAATTGTGAACCATTTTATAACCTTATAAGTGGAATTAATGGAATTAAATCATGTGACAAGCTTATGGAAGATGCAAGACCAGGAATAGTGAAGGGGCTTGATTTTTCTATATTTTGCAGAAATAATGGTACATTGTCAGCATTAACATATGATACATACTCTGCATTATGAAGTTGCATTTTTCATGTCCCTTATATAAATCTTGTAGGTTGATTGACATCCCAAAAATGGCTAATGATCTGAACACGGAGTTATCCAAAAAAACTGCCATTTTTGATCTCAAGGTCTGGGAATTGATTGGGATCATAGTTGGGTTATTTATTATGGTAATCCTCTCTGCATTGACATTTTATCTATCTTCACTGAAGAAATCAAGAAGAACTAGAGATAGAATTCCCCTCAGCCAAATCCCAAATGTTTCAAAGGAAATTAAAGAAGTTCGGGTGGAGCAAATATCAACAAATGAATTTGTTCCACGTGATGGGATTCTTCTAACCATTCACGACAAATCGAGTGATAAAGAATCAGATAAGATTATGGTCCATTTGGGTATGGGGAAATTGAAGAATGGAGATAACAACAGTCAGTCGGATTCATTTCGTCTTATGGAGAAAGATGGTGTGGGTTCCCAATCAGGAGAAGAAGGGAGTTCCGGTTCATTCGCTGTGTATAAGCCCTCTTCTTCACATCCAGTAACCACTTCTTCTCCTCTATCTGGCCTGCCTGAAATTTCTCACTTGGGTTGGGGCCACTGGTTTACTTTAAGGGATCTTGAACTTGCAACGAACCGTTTTTCAAAGGAGAATGTCATTGGTGAGGGTGGTTATGGAGTTGTTTACAGGGGACATTTGATCAATGAGACTCCAGTGGCAGTTAAGAAGCTCCTCAATAATTTGTAAGTTAGAAAATGCCTTGTTTGTTCACAACTATATTATGATATTTTCCTTCATGTAGATGTAAGTTGATACTTACATTCTTTACTTTAGGGGTCAAGCTGAGAAGGAATTTGGAGTGGAAGTGGAAGCTATTGGCCACGTGCGTCATAAAAATTTGGTTCGACTTTTGGGGTACTGCATTGAAGGAACACAAAGGTATTATTCATATATAAAACTCTAACTTAAATAAAAAAAGTGATTTATTCTAGATGTCAACAACAAAATTTTTTGGAAGGAAAGAATCCTTTATGCCCTAAAATACTTAAGAGGTAGCACTATGATGATGTTCTGAAGATTTGGATTTCATTTTAGTAGGAAACGTATCTCATTACTGTTAAAATATCAGGATGTTAGTTTATGAGTATGTCAACAATGGCAATTTGGAACAATGGCTTCATGGACCTTTGCATGAGCAAGGATGTCTTACTTGGGAGGCCAGAATGAAGGTTCTCATTGGCACGGCTAAGGCGTAAGTTAACTCAACTGTGTTTTCTTCTTGACATTTTGGATCTAACTATATGGGATATACTTGTTGCAGTCTTGCCTATTTGCACGAGGCAATTGAGCCGAAAGTGGTGCATCGAGACATCAAGTCGAGCAATATATTGATTGATGATGACTTCAATGCCAAGGTTTCTGATTTTGGCCTGGCCAAGCTTCTTGGTGCAGGAAAAAGTCACATCACAACTCGGGTTATGGGAACTTTTGGGTTAGTATTATCTTAATATTTTTCTAGCTTATTTTAGTTTTTGTTTATACTTCAACTCTTGTTAGTCGTCCTTTCTTTTCTAGTTCTGAAACAGTAGGTGTTTTTTAAACGATTAACAAAAGTTAATGGACAACGATGATAGGCACACTCATATTTCGTATTTATTTTATGTTTCTTCCAAAATCATGCAGGTATGTTGCTCCTGAATATGCAAATACCGGCCTTTTGAATGAAAAGAGTGATGTTTATAGTTTTGGGGTTCTGATTTTGGAAGCAATTACCGGAAGAGATCCTGTGGACTATGGTCGTCCAGCACAAGAGGTATTCTATCACTATAACCTCATGCAAACATGTGTTATGGTGCTGGAATGATAGTTCCTAATTTACTACTGGGAAGATGTTTGTATATCCGCCGCAGGCAATCTCAATATAGTATTGTTGTTACTGGGCTATGAACAGATTCTGCATTTGGTAACTGGATTCAATGCCATTAAAATTTGTTGAGACTGGTGTATTTGTTGTGTGATTTCTCATTTCCAGCACCATTTTAATGATTTTGACACCAGTATAAATGAGTTAATTAAACTATGCTTACATTAATGTTATCTGTTTTCCAAGAAATGAGCTCAATCATCATATCATCATTATTATTATCTTTTGTAAGTCCCTAGTTCCTTTTCCTCTTTCTACTTGTTACCATGTTCTACTGAATGTATTTAAGCACTCGACCCATCTAAACCTTTAAAGCCAATAGTCCCAATACAGAATCATTTCATCTCCATGTGGGGTTTATATGCTCTCCATACTCTACAAGAACATCACTTCATCCTTGATCCGCTCGTCATGGATTTGCCTCCTAGTATCTTTTCTGATCATTTATGTGGTCCTACACAGGTGTTAACATATATACATACATTATTTTATGAAGCCCTTCTAGAAATTGTCGTTTATTATATACCAAGATGAAGCCTCCGAAACAATTCAAAATGACTTAGTGTCTTAGGCTGCATCATTTTTAAAATTCATTTTCCTGTAGCTCTTATTCGAGGATATAAATCTAATTTTTCTTGCAGGTAAATCTGGTTGATTGGCTGAAAATGATGGTTGGAAGTAGACGATCGGATGAGGTTTTGGACCCAAACATTGAGACAAGGCCATCAACAAGAGCCTTGAAACGGGGCCTTTTAACTGCTTTGAGGTGTGTTGATCCAGATTCCGACAAGAGACCCAAGATGAGCCAAGTTGTTCGCATGCTTGAATCGGAGGAATATCCCATACCAAGAGAGGTCAGTTATGATTTCATCATCCTTATACTGCATGACCAAATTTCTAATCATACGTAAAGAAAACAAAAGAATCTTTGTGTCATTTCTGAGATGTTTGGGTCTGTGCTCCTATACTGGTTTATGGCGTCTATATCTTAGTCCTTACTGGGGCTATCTTTTGTCTCTGTTGCATTTGACCAAACTTTCTTTGTTATGAAGATTGGCTAGTCTCATACCGATTTTACATAAGTTCGTTCAACAGTTCTATAATGGATGGGTATACATGCTACATCAATAATACCACTCTAATTTATGATTGACTCCTTCATAATACTTCCTTGTTATGGTTAATACTTTCCTTTACCCTGTGTTAATTATACAAAGATAATTAAATTGGTCATCTTTCAGCGACCAAGGTTAACTATTCTGGTGTATATTTCTTTCATTCTCAATTTTTTTTTTTAATTGTTTTGACCTTTGACTAAAATTAGCTACTAGCTTCCATAGTTTCATCCTATCTTTTGCGTATGATGCTAAACATCATTTAGGAATGGGCATGACTCCACGCAAAGATGAAAATAAAATAAAATAAAATAAAACTCTGAAAAAAATGAAAATAAAGACTTATAAATAAAAAAGGGAAGTAAGTTCATTGGAAGTGTCCACACAAGGATCATACAGAGTTTATATTTGTGATTGATACTCAACTTTATTGTTGGGGTGGCAGACTACAGAGCCACTTGCCCACCCACCCACCCACCCACACATTTATGCGGCCGTTCCTTGATCATTTTATTTGCCTGTCATTGTCTTAGTATCCATTTCAGGCATGAGACTACTATTTTTATCGATATATTCTACATATGTTTTATTGGTCATATTGAAATGGGTTCATTTAAAGAACCAAGTTTCGGTTTTATTAGCAGTTGTCTTCTAGTGTTTCACCCTATAGTCACATATGAGTAGGATCCAGAATGGCGTTCCTCTTGAAAATCCGTGGCAAATGGTTGGATATGGACCATATGGTGATGATGCAAGTTCTGGATTTTGATCTTTTGCTTCATTTCTTTGGGCTAGAGTTCAGGAATTGCCAACCTTTTGAGAGCTACAACCACCAATCACATTAATTTAGCTGGTGTTTTAGGATGCAACTGTCCTGTGCTAACATAGTAGTAGTGAATCTTGCATTACTTGTGCTTTGGATTGGTAAATTGTTAAATTATAGTATTTGTTTTAAACATATATTTCTAATGATTTATTTTGTAGGGGGTTTCTTTGAATGGATTTGTTTGTGCTATTGCAATGGTTAATCCATTTTCTAATGGTAGATTCAGTAGGAGTTTGTGAGTGAGATTCTTTAGTTTTCCAAACTTATGATCAAATTGAAGATTTTTTATTTTTATTTTTATTTTCGCACTTTTTATCAAGGAACATTTGAGATTTCCTTAATTCAACTATTGTTATTCATTGATTTCAAATCTCTACTCTGGTGACTATTTTCACTTGCACATTAGCTTTCCATTTCTCCATTTAATATTATTTTCATGAGTTCTTGCTGGACTTTGATGTTGAAAGATTTTCAGGAAAAATAATTTCTAATAAAAAGGATTTTAATGAGTTGTTAATTGTATTTAATCCTTAATATTCAGGATCGAAGACATCGAAGAACTCGAGATGGTAGCATGGATCTTGAAACCCAGAGGGAGAACTATGACACCGATAAGAGTGACAATCCAGATCCAAGGTCAGAGACCAGAAGGAACCACTAAACATAACCGAACATGTGCTTTGTTTAGGGGATATGGGTTGAGAATCTGCATGCTCATTCTTCTTCTTATTTTTTTTTAACCATCCCCGACCTTTGGTTTCGCTGTACCATCTGTGGTCTAAGAGAGCAAGAAGGACGGGGGCGGGGGAATAGAGTTAATGGAGTGGGAGAGTATTTTTTTTTATTTTCCGTTGGATTTTTGTTATATTCAAGTAGATGGAGATATATGATTGTTTTGTGTATGGAAGTGGTGACAGTGTGAAAAACCCAGAATATTGGAGGGGGTGTATGTACAGGGCTCTTATTCAATATTGTTTGATGAAAATGCTTTTCTTTCTGTTAAATAAAAAAAAAAAAAAGCTACCCATTTTTTTTTATGATTAGACGAAGAAAAATGTGGTGTCACCTGTTGAGCATGTCCAAACAGGGTTCCTCTTTCGGAGCTCGGTTGAAAAGTTGTGGAAGATGTTTTGGGGAACACAAAAGCAAATGTTGGCTTCAAGATAAAGTACCGATCATGCTTCAAAGATGGACAAGCCAAAAGTGTCTTTTGTGGAAGTGTTTTCACTTTCCAACTATACTGTAATCACTTCTGTTGGGCCCATGCTATACAATGACCTGGCCTGTGAAGGTATAACATTGGAGAAATTATTACAAGGTCGGGAAATGGTCTCGGTCAATCGCAACTTGACACTTGAGCAAATGTGTACAAAAGGGTTGTTAGCTTGTGCTAATTTGCTTGCTATAAGCACTTTACTTTCCATTAAAAGCATGACATTTTCTTTTGATTCCCCCTAAAATTTGTTTGTTCCGAATGCTAATAAAGTCGGCTAAACAGGAAATTAAAAACTTTGCCTGTTCCATTTGTGGTAAGAATTTATAGATTACATTGTGTGTTCGTGACAAGTATTAGAAGAGACTTGAAGTCCACAAAATTTGGCTTGTTATTTCAGAGAAAGGTCAAGATGGTAATCTAAACAAATGCAGAAAAACTGACCTTGTAAGAAATAGTTGAGTTGTTGACAGACAATTTAAGATGACAGAATGGTTTATGAGAAATGAATTGGAACCTATAAGCAAGCATTAAGAAAATTAACCAACAACTCCATTTAATAGATTTATCTTGGGATAATCACTTGGAAGTGAATTTACAGGCATTTATATCACTAGATTAAGGCATTAGGTTTAGAGAAGTGATATGGAAATTCAAAATCATGAAGTCATCAATAAAATAATAGCTTGGTGCATTCCATGAGTGTGGCAGTTGGTTCTGATATATATATATATATAACACTCATTGATGCTCTCTTTTTCCCTATGATGCATGAAAAATGCCTTGAATTTGTTTTCTGTCTCCATCAGTAGGCATTAAAGGCAAAATCATGCCTGTGGCCTGTGGGTCTTATTTTCAGTATGATTTTAAAATTAGTTCCTCTGTAGCATGCTGCTTAACATGTCTTTGGCCAGGAATGGTGTTCTGTTATTTCACCCACCAGGGAAGTGGTTTTTAATTAAGTTGAATATTCCAATGTCTATGGTAGTGCTAAGGTTTTAATTAATCTACATTTTCAAATTAAAATAGAGATTCGAGTGTGACTAACCAAAGGTTAAAATGTTTCAATTTAAGTACAGTTATTTTCACCAAAAAGTAATGTCAAAAGTCGGGTTTGTTCCGGTCTTCCTTTCCAAAATCTTGCATAAATGTCACATACAAATATTTTTTTTTCCAGGCAAATTAAGAGAGTTGAGATTCGAACATGGACACAACCGCTCAGGAAGTTAATCACTCTTTAACTGTGTCACGCCCTTGGTCAAAAATCCCCCTTGCTGATGTGACTTGTGAGTTGACAGCAAATTTTAAGCCATCATGAAAAAGAAAGATTTGAGGAACTTGGACCATGAAATACAGGCTCCATCATGCTGTTAAATATATCATTATAGTAATAATAATGGAAAAGGCTTGCTATAATTTTATTTGTCTTGCTATGCAAGTACAATTTTATAAGCATCACATTTAGTTTAGTGTAGAAGCTATGATCTACTTTTTTTACTATTTTTGATTTTTTTTTTTGGGTAACAAACTGTGGTCTACTCTTCTATATTACCTTGACAATTAATGTCCATAAGATCAATATCCTCTTTCCCTCCAATTTTTATTGGCAAATGTGGTGCACATGAAGTTGATTTGAATTTCATAAATCTTTCTGGCATACAATTATATGTTTTGGTTGCCCAATTGACCTCATCAGTAGATTAGATGGTTGCATCCATTTCATGTTGACTTTTGAGTTGATGAATAGCCTAAGATGGTAACTAATTTTACATTTTGTTACGATAGAATGAAGTTGATGAAAATAAGAAAAAAATAATGATAAGAAAATAACAAATAAACACACATTAAAAGTCCTTCTTTACGGAATATGATAAATAACATTTCATTATGAAAATAAAAAATAAAGAAATACTAATTAGAGTTGCTTACACCCAAAATTCAATTACGGTCAAGCTCTCACACAAAATTCATACTCCATTGCATGAAGATATAACCGGAGAACCATCAATTGAGGCGGCAATTTAGCTTCTTCTTCATGCATCACAAAGGAGGCATTTGAGGAGGTTAACCCAATTTTCTTCTCTTGTAAGAATAGTTGCATTAATGCTGCTATAATAATTTATATGAAGCTCCAAGTTCATAATATGGAGCAGCTTCAAGTTCCAAAGGTGGGCTGCTCAAAATTTGACATTTTGATTGATGGAGATGGATATGACTCATAAAATAAATGTGATGGGAAATTATAATAGTTCCATTATGACTCTGATAAGGATTACATGGTTCACATGAGGCCACATGAGTAAAAAAAAACTGACACAACCATATAAAAATATATCCTTCTGTTCTTGCCTTTTGGATTGTCGACTCACCCATATCTAAGGTTGTAAGGACAAAGACTATCATTGATCTTTGTCTCGCCTCTTATGCCTAAATGGTGGAAGTACACATATATATATATATATATATATATATATGTATATATATATATATATATATTTTTTTTAGATATATATATATATTTTTGGATTTTAAAGCTACTGAAAGTATATATATGCAGAAGGAATGGTGGGAGTAGTTGCTCCTCTATTCAGTAAAAAGTAAAATATTGTTTGCTGGGGTTTTATGTACCAAATAGAAGTATATACTGATTTTAGATATGATATGCAGGAATGTCTAAGAAAATCATGCAAGACCACATCCCTAAACATCTCGTCCCCTCGACACACAGAAAGGTCATTATTTATTATGTTATATTTTGCACAAAATGATTGTTGTAAAACTAAACCTTCAAGTCTAGTGTTATGGGTTGTTGTCTTACATCGAATTGATGTAGAGAGAATCCTTGCCCCTTACAAAACTTTTCTAATAATTTAAAATTTTGGATTGAATGGCAAATTTGGAACCCATTGCAACAAGCTATACTATTCTACCATCCAAGACAAACGCAATCAAGAAAGTAAGTGAGAGAATCAACAAATAAAAACAAGAGAGGACTAAAATAATATGGAATCACGGTCAAGCTAAATTACTAGATTATTAGTGACTAAAACATGGCAATACACCTTGAAGTTTGCAATTTTGTGTGCTAAACTATGAATGGTGGTAGATTAAACATTTTTTAACACAAGAAAGTCAACTACCTCTATATTAATTTGTAACTTAGAAGGCCAGAACCATGGGATTGACAGTCAACATTGATGCCACGGTTGCATAAATATATATACTCCTACATATATATATATATATATATCAAACTTCTTGTGATGTATATATTAGATTACGTTACTTCTCTTACTACATTTTCAAATTCATTGCATAAAGATATAAGAATGACGCAATGCCTTACGTAATCGAAGTGAAGATTGCATGACCATATATATATAAATCCCTCTGTTAGTTTATGTTTCCACCATTTCAGTTTGAAGCTAGCTCTCTCTAGCTTAATTATCCAATACCCAATTAACATGGCACAGTTGGTTGGTAGTGATGAGATAGAGTCACTGAGGTTTGAGCTAGCAGAGATAGGAAGGAGCCTTAGATCATCATTTCGGCGTCACACCTCGAGTTTTCGAATTAGTTCGAATTTGAATTCTGCAAGGGATGATGTTGATGCTGAATGTGCCTTACAATGGGCTGCAATTGATAGATTGCCCACTTTTGAACGGTTGAGATCATCTCTGTTTGATGATCATGAAGGCAGGGTTGATGGCAATGGGAAAAGGGTGGTTGATGTTACTAAGCTTGGTGCTCTTGAAAGGCATATGTTCATTGAGAAGCTCATCAAACACATTGAGAATGACAATCTTCGGTTGTTGCATAAGCTTAGAAAAAGAATAGACAAGTGAGCTCTTTCTTCCTCTTGACACCCATTTGCAAATACATTTGAGCAAGCATATATACATATACATATACATATACATATATATATATATATATCATCTTTGTATATATCATTTAGGAATCGAGATCCCTCTCGTGGAAGTCCTTTCACACTACTATATATCCTTCTGCTATACATTAAAAAAAAAAAAAAAAAATTTAAAATAATATTAGATATATATTACTTTTTTGTCCCAAAATAAGTGTTGTGTTTTGAAAATTATAATTTACAAAAAAATAACACCAATCACAATTTTTAAAACATGACACTTATTTTCAACACGAATAACTTAGGACATAAAAGATCTTAAGTTTATAATTGGGATATTGATGGTCCGCCACACCCACTTTTTAGTTTCCAATGGCTGTGTATGGCATATCCTTTCATCAATTGGAGTACTAAAAGATGTATTAAGAGGTTGTTTGGTTAAACTTTTTACTGATTATTGTAGGGTTGGTGTAAAATTGCCCACTGTGGAGGTGAGATATAACAATTTGCGTGTGGAAGCAGTGTGTGAGGTAGTTCATGGCAAGCCCCTTCCCACACTTTGGAATTCTCTCAAAAGCATGATTTCTGTAAGCACTGCATTTCTCAAAGTAACTTCGGAGCTTACCCGTTAGTTTTATGTATGTGTGTATTGGGGTGGTTTATTTCAAATCTCTCAGTATCAATTTTGTTAGGGTTTAAGGTTTTAATAGATACAAGTTGGTTCCTAATTTTTTTTTTACGGAGACTTAAATTCTCGACCTTCTATTTAATTTTTTTTATATGTTACTGTTTCTAAATAATTTTGCATTTCAATTGTGACTTCTATAGCAAAAGTGTCATATCACTTATTATGGATTTGCACCAAAACCCCTCCTAAGAGGGTCAAAATCCTCTCCAGTCACGTTTTTTTTTCCGTGGTTTCATCTAGTGGGTGGAATTCATCTGTGAATTCCGTTAATGTAATGGTGTGATATTCACTTGTTTGAATTTCATTACCATTTGCTTACAGGTGAATTTTAAAATGTTATAATCAAGGGCGAATCCAGGAATTGTTAATGGGGGGCTAATATTAAACAAGGGGGAATTAGGGATCGAAAGATTAAAGGGTTGGAAAATTTTAGAGGAAATAGGGTTAGACTTTAGAGGGAGGGAAGGAGTGAGCTCTCTGATTTGTGTAAGATTTGCTTTGACTTAGTAATTGTTTAGGGCTTGTTTGGGTGGACATATTTGGTTGGGCCTTTGTTTTAAAATTGTGATTTAGATATTGTGCTTGTTTGGATGGATTAAAATTGAGGGGCTAATACTATTATTAATTTTTTCTTTTAAAAATTTTTTTTTTGGGGGGGGGGGTCAAGCCCACCCAAGCCCCCCTTGGATCCGCCACCGGTCATAATATCGAAATTCACCACTGCTAGTGATGAACTTCATCCACCAAATGGAACTGCAGGAAAATGTGACCATTGAGGATTTTGATCCCTCCTAGGAGTACCTGTTAATAGACTTGACATGAAGTGCGAGTTTGTATGCATATTTGTATGTGTTTGCGCACAATAAGATCACCATTAAGTATGAAAGGAGCAAATTTTAACCAAATTTAGTGTGCATTCACACAGAAGAAAAATTGTTCCATCTTCTTATCTTTGTAGTTTATTTAAATTAAAAATGGTGAATTTTGTTTGACAGGACTTCTCAAAACTGCCTGGATTAAATTCACAGAAGGCAAAGATACGCATCATTCATGATGTCAGTGGTATCATTAAGCCAGGGAGGTAGGGAATATTAAGATTTTCTGGTAGAAAAGATTTTTTTCTATTGAAATTCTAAAAGCAAGGGAAAAAATAAATGTTCAAAATTCAAATACAATTAATAAAAGTTTTGCTTGGTAAAATTCAGGTACTGTAATAATTAACTCAATTGGGATTATCTTTGTTGCAGAATGACTCTACTGCTTGGTCCTCCAGGATGTGGGAAGACATCTTTGTTGAAAGCACTTTCAGGAAATCTAGACAAATCCCTCAAGGTTTCTCACTTTCTTCATGCTTTATCTGCTATTATAGAGCTGATTAACACAAATTGTTATCAGAAGTTCAAGCAAACGCATACCCAGCTGCAATATTGTCCCTATTAGGGTTTGAACTCTTAACTTCCCCTCTCAGGAGAAGAGATCATACCATCTGGGCTAATGCCCATTGATCGATTTGCACAATCAACAACGTCCAAATATAATAAAAATATTGGGCCACTTGTTTAGACCTTATCAACTCAAGTTTTTTGTGTTCTAATTGTTACTAATTTCTTCTTGTAAAGATTGTATTCAACTGTTCTTTATGCCTTTTATGTACTCCCTAGCACCCCAAGTTGCAAGTTCTACTGAAGTGACTTTGGACCTAAATGAGTATTAAAGTCTTGTAAAAGTTCTTCTGGTCCCTATGGCTAGTATATATTCCCAAACACCAAACCTATTTGTTGGTAACTTTTTCTAATCCAGTCTTGGTACTAAGCTGGGGTAGTTTTTTTAAATGTGAGATGATTTGTATGGGGCAGATTTTACAATGCACAGAAAGTGTAAGATGAATTGCATTGTAAAAAACTATAATAGTTGCAATAATAAGTGACCGTGGCTCGGTTATTTTGAGGGTCTTCACTTTGTGCAAACAATTTCAACCCAATACACCGCTTCCCATCACTCTAGATTAATGGGGACCAAGACTGAGTAATGGAAAGATATATATATATATATATATATATATATATATATATATATATATATATATATATTTTTTTTTTTTCATTTTACAGATTGATACCCACTAATTACTCTACTACTTTGTAAGAAAAATTTAAGGTTGAAGATATAACCACCCTCATAAATTTGAATTCTTTCTTCAATGCTTGCATTTTGAATAATAATGGTATCTTGAGCTTTGATTTGATTTGTTAGCGAGGGGACTGAGGACTACTGTAATATGTACAACTTTTTCAATTTGGTTTGTTGTCTGCCTATTTTCCAACAGGTTACAGGGGAAGTTTCTTACAATGGATACAAATTGGAAGAGTTTGTACCCCAGAAAACTTCCGCTTATATAAGCCAAGACGACCTACACATTCCTGAGATGACTGTGAGGGAAACACTTGATTTTTCTGCCCGTTGTCAGGGTGTTGGAAGCAGAGCAGGTATTTCTGTTTTGAGCACACAACAAAGATTGTTTTAGTTGTGAATACCCTTATCAATTTATGGTATTAAAGTAATTTGTTTTCCGTCTTCGAAGAGATTATGATTGATGTCAGCAGAAGGGAGAAACAGGCAGGAGTTGTTCCGGATCCAGAGATAGATACTTATATGAAGGTACGTTTGGCACATTTGAGCTACTACTGAAAAAACTAAGGGATATGAGCTACTACTGAAAAAACTAATCGATAAGAACTTGCAAACTGAATTCCATTCTAGAACCTTTTGCTGATACTGATTCTGTTGAAACAAACAGGACTTTGATAACAAATTTTTTGTTCTATATGTAATAGCTAGGAGTTCTATGTTAAAGATTGAATGGGAAAAAAAATAAAGATTGTGACAGTAATGTTTTTATAAAAACATGATATTTCTACCCTATACATACCTCATCAGTTCACATAAATTCAGTTTATGGTAACTTGTTCAAATCATGTGGGCCATAAATTTATGAAATGTATTAAATTGCAGTTCTAATATCTAATCAGGTGGTAGATTTCAACTTTGACAGTATTTTCTTTATAGATATACTACATATAGACATTTGAGACACCTGTTTCAGGTTCTTAGGGGTGTTTTACATGTGAACTTGTATAAAAAAAATTGTGTCTTAAGAGCTAATCCTAAACCGGATGATACAGGCAATACAGGTTCATATCAAGCTTGACTAACCAGTAATCTGCTGTCGATTGATATTAACTAGCTGACAGCCCTGTTTTGCCAATGCAGTAGCATATCCTATTTAGTTGACTGTCCTAAAGCACAATTTATTCCATTGGCAGTGCCGGTGCATCTAAATCTCTGACCATTTGATAAATGCCAGCATTATAGTGGGCTTAATTAAGATTATTGTTGGGAATCTAATTGGTCATGTAAATCCAATCACCATTACATATGCCCATTAAGGGCTTGGAGCATGTAAAAGCTACTTTACTTGAGAAAGAATGCATCAAGGAATGCAAGTCGTATGGTCATTTAAAAAGTTCTGATATTCTTCATAAAATTGGTTTACTTTATGTTTCAAGATTTATTGATATTGTCTGTGTTAACAGGCAATTTCTGTTGAAGGACAAAAGGAAACACTTCAGACAGACTACATTCTAAAAGTAACTCTCTTCTAAAAATGCTAATATTGAGATTCGTTTTTTTTTTGTAAGTCATAGTTAGACAAACGCTTTGCCTGTTGATGGTTTTCCCTTCTTTATCATGCTTTTTCCAGATTCTTGGACTTGATACTTGTGCTGACACACTGGTTGGAGACGCCATGAGAAGAGGAGTCTCCGGGGGTCAAAAGAAACGGTTGACTACAGGTAGTCTTGACCCACAGTTTAACAGCTGATTTAACAGATAATATATAACTCACCCACTACATAACATTTAGCACTTGTGAAGTGAGCAATTAATCCCCAATATCAGCTAAGCTATAAGCTTCGAGGACTTGAACTGAATATTATTACAGTGGTATATATGAAGAATCAATTTTATTGGTATGCAGGAGAGATGATTATAGGTCCCACAAAGGCTCTGTTTATGGATGAAATATCAAATGGGTTAGACAGTTCCACCACATATCAGATTGTTGCTTGTCTTCAACAGCTAGCTCATATCACAGATGCTACTATACTTGTGTCACTTCTTCAGCCAGCACCAGAGACCTTTGATCTCTTTGATGACATAATCTTGATGGCCGAAGGGAAGATTGTGTATCATGGTCCCTGTAGTCAATGTTTGGAATTTTTTGGTGATTGTGGATTTAGGTGTCCCGAGAGGAAAGGGGTAGCTGATTTCCTCCAGGAGGTGAGTCCACCATGATAAATACTAGTTTACTTCCTATCATCTTACTTCAATGCCAAATTACTTAACATGCTGTCTTCTTTGCAGGTTATCTCAAGAAAAGATCAAGCACAGTATTGGCACCGGAGCGGACAATCTCACAGTTATGTTTCTGTTGATGAGTTCTCTAGGAAATTCAAGGAATCTTCTTTTGGCAAGAAGCTAGATCAGGAGCTATCCAAGCCATTGATGAAGTCTCAGAGCCAAAATAGTGCTATTTCTTTTCATGTCTACTCTCTTTCTAAGTGGACACTCTTTAAAGCTTGCATGACAAGGGAATTTCTTCTCATGAAAAGGAATTCTTTTGTTTATGTATTCAAATCAATTCAGGTTATGATCAGAACCTTTTCATTCTATAATCATTATATTAGGACTTTCATTCTTTCATCATTACTTTTGTTTTTTTCTTTACATTTTTTAACCATTCATGCCTTCCTATCAATGTTAAATTGTCAACCTGCTGTGTCCAACACCCCGTGAAATATATATATACAAATGTCTTAGTTCTTCTTCTATGCAGGTTATTGTAATTGCATCTATTACGATGACTGTATTTTTGCGGACTCAGATGGGTGTTGATGTTGTTCATGCAAACTATTATATGGGTTCTATGTTCTATGCTCTCACCATTCTTCTAGTTGATGGATTTCCGGAATTGGCAATGACTGTTTCAAGACTTTCCATTTTCTACAAGCACAGAGATTTGTACTTCTACCCAGCTTGGGCCTATGCAATTCCAGCAACTATTCTCAAGGTTCCATTTTCATTGTTGGAATCTCTAGTTTGGACATCGCTTACTTACTATGTAATTGGATACAGTCCTGAGGCTGGCAGGTAAGTTTCACAGGAGAAAAGATTTAATTTTCATTATTCCTCATATAAATTATTTTATTTTTCTCCAATTATTTCAATAATTGGACCAATTTTATGCTTGGATCACTGGTTCACTGGTTTGTTCATTCTTTCATTGACTAGTCAACAAGCAACAGCAAACTTCAGTAAAGAAGTTGGGAAAGTTGAATTAACTTCTGACATTTGCTGCGTTTCTTAGGTTTTTCCGGCACTTCATTCTACTTTTTTCTGTGCACTTGACATCATTATCCATGTTCCGCTTCTTGGCATCAGTCTTCCAGACCATGAATGCTTCTACAGTAGCTGGTAGTATGTCGATATTACTAGTCTTATTATTTGGTGGCTTCATTATCCCAAACCGTAAGTTTTAAAGTAAATCTTTTCCAATTTGATTCTAGGATAATGGCCTAAGGAATGAACTTGAGCTGTTTTATTGATTGCAGCCTCCATGCCAATATGGTTGAAGTGGGGATTTTGGCTTTCCCCAGTATCATATGGTGAGATAGGACTTGCGGTAAATGAATTTCTTGCTCCACGATGGCAAAAGGTGAGTTCCTAACAACCTGAGTTGTTTGGTCCTCTAATTAAGGCTTTTCTAAAGCTAAGTTTTTTTTTTGGTTTTATTTAAATCACATTAGCATTATTAAGAGCTAAAACAACAAAATATGAGGCAACAAAATGTTTTAATGGACAGTCAACTGAACTCTTTTTCCTTGTTATGTTTACCAATCAAAAGCTACATGTCTTGTTACATTGCGTACCAAAATGCATGTTCTCATGAACTCTAGTCATGTCCTTTCCCATTTTATTTGATCCTATATATATCATGCCATGAACCTACATTTTGTCAACAACTCAATGGTCATCCATAACTTCTGAACTTGATCTATCTAGTCTGCATCTTTTTTTCTCTGGATGCTTACCATGCTTTCAGCTAGAATAATATCATTCAGTTCTCTACATATTGTTAATCATTATTACATATCTTCTTCGTATTATACATTCTTTCAAAGATGCAATATAGTTTAAATTTTACTTTTCAAGCGACAAGTTTTACTTCTTTCTTAAGTTGTAGAAGGGGATTTTCTTGCAAAGGCGAGAGTACAAACCTCCACCCTCTTCAATCTTTCCGGCATATTATATTCTATTATTTTTCTCTCTATTAAACATTTCTCTCTGTTCTTATCTCCTTACATTTAAATTCTTTCTCTAGTTTTACATGTAGTATTAAAAGAATTCATTCCACTTCCAAATGCACACTAAAATAGTGGTATACTGCTTGGTCATTCTGCTCTTTTATGCAGATGTTGCCTACGAATACAACAATAGGGACAGAAGCACTTAACGCCCGTGGATTGAACTTTGATGGATACCTTTTTTGGATATCACTTGGTGCCTTATTTGGGTTTACAGCAATTTTGAATGTCGGGTTTACCTTGGCCTTAACTTTCTTAAAGCGTAAGTTCATCTTTAAATATAGGAAATCAACTTGATAACGGCAGAATGATATATATATTTATTTATGTTTCAACTGCATCAGCTCCCGGTTCTCGTGCTATTATTTCAAATGAAAAGCTCTCCCAGTTACAAGGAAGTGAAGATTTCATCAAAGGCAACCATGTGGAAGAAAAGTCCAGCAATTCTCCTCCTAACACTATATCAGAAGCTCATAAAGGTCAGGTGCATTTCTCTTTTCTTCCTTTTCCGTATAAATCTTTAGACCATTTCTCTCCAAAGTTCTTTTTCTTCATATCACCTTTTTTTTAAATAGTAAATATTTTTTTCTTCTCCAGCAACTAATGAGGATGCTTTATCTCATTTTGCAGGCAAAATGGTCTTACCTTTTGAACCCCTAAATGTAGTGTTCCTGGATGTGCAATACTATGTTGACACCCCTTTGGTAATCATAGAAACCGGTGTCATATGTAACTTATAATAGGATATCGAGAGCCATTAGATCAAATTACATTGTGTTTTTCCATTACTTTCATTTGCTTTCAGGAAATGCAAGATTTAGGTATCTCTCAGAAAAAACTCCAACTTCTTTGTGATATTACGGGTGCATTCCGACCTGGTGTTCTTACAGCATTGATGGGTGTTAGTGGCGCTGGCAAAACAACTCTTATGGATGTTCTTGCGGGAAGAAAAACTAGTGGCACAATTGAAGGAGAAATTAAAATTGGAGGATATCCTAAGTTTCAAGAAACATTTGCTAGGATTTCGGGTTACTGTGAGCAAACTGACATACATTCTCCACAAATTACTGTGGAAGAATCAGTGATGTTCTCAGCTTGGATGCGTCTGCATCCTCAGATTGATTCAAAAACTAAAGCTGTAAGACCTATATCTGCAGAAATTAAATTTGCTTTTTGGTTTTACATTTATCACTGAATACTGATATATCGTCTTATTTAAATGGTTGTGGCTTGTCTTTACAGGAATTTGTGAAAGAAGTCCTTGAGACCATTGAGCTTGATGGAATTAAAGATGCCTTGGTTGGCATGCCAGGTGTTAATGGTTTATCAACTGAGCAACGTAAGCGGCTCACAATAGCTGTGGAGCTTGTTGCTAACCCTTCTATTATATTCATGGATGAACCTACATCTGGATTGGATGCAAGAGCGGCTGCAATCGTTATGCGGGCTGTGAAAAATGTGGTTGAAACAGGAAGAACAATTGTTTGCACCATCCACCAACCAAGTATTGACATATTCGAATCATTTGATGAGGTAAGAAAACCAAATTAAGTGAAACTTTAGAACATGTAAGATAATCTAGTTACTGAATATGTACTTATATTTGTGTGAACTGAAAAGCTGCTTGATTGTCACTGGTATCACTCCATCAACTCAATGGTGCATATTTAACTAAGGAGATTATTTTCCAATTGCCACTTACGAAGCGAATTTATGAAAAAATTAAGCAGCTAGATCCAATATGCCTCTTTTCAAGCCTTTGAAATGTTTAGTAGGTATGACTGTTAGCTCAAAAAGGGAAAATAAAGATGTTCAATCATAAGCTTGGTTGGCAGGCTGCAAGCAAGATTGTCAATTATCTTTCCGGCCCTACAACCGAAAAAAAAAGAAAAAGAATATAAGCAAGATTTATTTTATTTTTTACTTTTAATTTTTAATTTTTTTATTTTTAATATAAGATGCTTTTTGTGTGAGAATGTGCATTTTTGGAACTCATTTGAGTGTGTTGAAACTATTATCTTTCTATACATTATAAGTTTTTGTAAAAGTGCTATATATATGACTGTTCCAAGTATAGGAATCTAAACAAGTTTCTGCTGAACTAAGTGACAGGCTTCCTATTGTTTGCTGATGTTGGTTGTGACTTCCCAGCTGAATTTTAAGATCAATTTTCCATCTTTTATAAATACCAAGAGACTGTAAATGCATTCGTCTATTTACAATACAATAAAATATTGTCGCTTTTGAATACTGAAAGGTGTTGAACATTAGTATTTGGAGAACATTCTATGGTAGAATTTTTCCCGTGATCCAACTCCATATTGTGGTTTATATAGAAGCAGTTTTGGTTCAACACCGCCGTTCCATTTATTGCAGTTAATTCTGTTGAAAACTGGCGGACGTATGATCTACTCTGGACCATTGGGTCGGCATTCCAGTAGCATCATTGAATATTTTGAGGTCAGTTCTATAGAATTTTTTTGAGGTCATCATACACTTCTCATATGTTTTTTCTCTCGTATTAATACATAGATTATATGATGTGATTCTTGCATCCATAAAATAAACAAATTTGCTAATCATATTTTCATTTGACCACATCTGTGTATCAGGGTATCCAGGGGGTGCCAAAGATCAGAAATAATTCAAATCCAGCAACATGGATGTTAGATGTCACATCTACATCAGCAGAGGCTGAACTTGGTGTAGATTTTGCCCAGATTTATAAGGATTCTATTTTATTCAAGTGAGTTAACGACCAAGCACTTCTCTTGAGCGTGCTTCTCTCTGAAGTTAGACAAGTAATTACAAATGTGCTAGATGTGACTATTATACAAATGAAATTATCTTCTCAAATAAGTATGTATGAAGATGTGAACCATCTATGGGTACATATTTGATGCTATAAAATGTTAGTTCCAATGCCATAGACCATTCATATACTGAATAGGCTGCTTAAGTAAAGCATGGTCTAACTAGGACCACACTGCCTTTGCACTAGGAGTAAAGCATCGTCTTATTGCTTTCGGTTACTGAGTTGTGGACATACGAGAATTTATTGATTTCTCTGAGCAATTATATGACCATTCGTGCACTAATGATCATTTGAGTAAGGACTGGACTATGGTTAGCTGTAATATAAATCATTCAGGACTGGACTATGGTTAGAGTGATGTAGTGTCATTCCAAATAGGTTCTAGCTGGAGTCTTTGTAGACTAATCAGCTGTAGTCCAGCCACTAGATACATATGTCAACCAGGATTTGTTGCTGATGAACTACCTACTTGTAAGTCAAAATTTTAGGTGTAACCTTGCATCTGAAACGCAACCTGTTTAATCAGTAAGTCAATATTTAATAGTAAATGAAGTTCTGAATTAATTCGAGATTGACTAATAATGGTAATTTTCACTTCATGTATTATAAGATGGCTGCTGTAAGGCTTGCTTGTAGTTGATGTTAGGATTGAAGGTTACAATCTACCTAAAATCCTGTGACTGATGTGGACTATAACAACATGATGTAAAACATATTATTCTCCAATATGACAGGATGAAATTGTGGAAGCCAATTAAAATTATGGAATGAACATCTTAACATTTGGCTTGTTTGTGACTCCTTTTCATGTTGTTCTGAATGTAGGAACAATAAAGAACTTGTAAAGAAGTTGAGTGCTCCATCTCCTGGTTCAAAAGATCTGTATTTCCCAACCCGCTATGCACAAAATGGTTGGGGACAGTTCAAATCCTGCCTCTGGAAGCAGCATCTGTCTTATTGGAGAAATCCTTCATACAACGTGACGCGTTCCATGTATATGCTTATTGCATCTCTGCTTTTTGGGGTACTTTTTTGGGATCAGGGGAGGAAATTGTAAGTATAAGACACATAATCTTTCAATTTTCTGATACTATATAGTGTAAATGCATACAAAATATGTTGGAGTATTATGTTCAACTAAAGTTATAATATTTAATAAATTTATTGTAGCACAGCCAAATTAGCTTTTGGACATTGACTGACAATATCTGTTCGGCTAAATGAACCATCTATTACAGATCTTGTTCCTGATGTGAACCTGATATTTAACCATTTTAATAGAACAAATCTGGAAAAAGTGAATTGCTTTATTTTCTTTCTTGAAGTACCGCAATTGTGTATTTTGTGGATGATGACTCATCACCAAATGCAGTGTTTGGATTCTGTTCAATTTTATTGATTACATCTGTAGGATATGGGATCCTATTATTTTGTTATTCCAAAGACTTCTACAAATATCTGACACAGATATTCTTTTATGTGATAGAAACAACCAACAGAGCTTGTTCAATATACTTGGTTCAATGTATGCTGCTGTGATCTTCTTGGGCATAAATAATTGCTCATCCATTTTACCATATGTCACGACAGAGCGATCTGTTTTGTATCGAGAAAGATTTGCTGGGATGTATGCTTCATGGGCTTATGCATTTGCACAGGTATAAATTTCTTGGGATCTGGTTGAATTAGTAATATTCTTGATTTGAACAAAATCGGATCAATGTTCGTCCTTACAGTTGACTTGAAGCTGTATGAAGTTGAATTGAATTGTTCCGATCATCCCTATGGTTCATGGCATACCTTTTGAGAGTAAATAAAAGTAACCCTTTATGAAGTAGACAAGTCCGACCGGTCCTATCTTTTTTATATAACAGTTCAGATGTAATATGATTTTACAAACTCTCCAATATGGTGACCATCAAATTCTAGATGCCTACTATACTCAATCCTCTCTCTCTCTGCTCGTTAGTACAAGGATAGCAGTCCACCATGACAAAAAATTGAAACCTAGAGCTAATCAAATTCTCCCTACTTCAGTTACAAACAATTTTCTAAGGAGCTTTGTATTATTGGTATGTCCTACTGACTGAAATGTGTTTTAATTTTGTAGGTGGCAATTGAGATTCCTTATATATTTGCCCAAACACTTGCATTTGTGATCATCACATATCCGATGATTGGATTTTATTGGTCACCTTACAAGGTTTTCTGGTACTTCTACGCCATGTTATGTACATGTATGTACTTCACTTATCTTGGCATGCTGCTGATTGCATCGACGCCAAGCTTTCCAGTAGCTGCAATTCTACAGTCAACCTTCTATACAATGTTAAACCTGTTCTCTGGATTTCTGGTTCCTCAACCGGTAAGCTTCTAATCTCTACTTGGCAAGTACTGCCAAATTGTAGATTATTACTAGCAAATATGCTCTAATTCATGGTGATAATAGAACAAATCAAAATCCATTATGCAATGTTGTGCTAGTTCAATAAAATCTAGGGTTGTAGGAGTGGAATGTGTATGAATGGCTTAATTCGTACAAAGTCACCACTCTCCGACCTGCTCTACAACCCTATTTTTTAGCATTGCACTAAACAATGGCCTCTACAACATAACAATTATAAAACTGAAACTCAGGATTTAGGAAACTTTTGTTCTATAAGTTCGATATTCCTTTCTTTTTTATTTCCCATTATGTGCAATTTATATGTTAAAACTCTCCACTCACATCCAAATTTCTTTGTAATATTAACCCCAAAATGAAGATTTTTTTTTTTTTTTTTGTGAGTTAGTTCTGGCCCTTCTGTGCAGTTAGCATTGTTGTACATGTATTCGTAAACCTTGATCTTCCTAGAATTTGAATAGTGCCAAAAATATCTAGCATTATTTGATGACTAAACTTCAGATAAATGCAAATCCAGGGAGAACTTCATAGGCTTTTCTTACTGATCACTAAATGGAATGATGCTTCTATCTCATGAGACTGATGAGAGAGTACAAGATAATTCATGCCCATGTGCCTCTAGTCTAGGGATTATTTTTTTAATACCCCGGGGTTACCTACAATGTAGTATCCCCGAGCAATTTATCATTGTCCGGGAGTACCATATTCAAGGTCCAAAGTAACATGTATTATACTGCAAAATGTTGGTCCAAAAACTTACTGTATAGAGATACTAACCCAAACTATATTGTTTTTGCTTGTTGCAGCAAATGCCCAAGTGGTGGCTGTGGTTGTATTACCTATGTCCTACATCTTGGACACTAAATGGTATGCTTACTTCACAGTATGGAGACATAAACAAGGAGATTATGGTGTTTGGAGAAACCAAAACTGTAGCAGCATTCTTGAGAGATTACTTTGGGTATCATCACGATCGCTTACCGGTGGTGGCTGTTCTTCTCATTGTATACCCCATTGTTTTTGCTTCTCTGTTTGCATTTTGTATAGAGAAGTTAAACTTCCAGAGGAGATGAGTATTGTAAACTGTAAAGCCATCTATTTATATCTCAATGACTTTGATCTTGATTTTCATGGTACTTGGTTCATAATTTTTTTTATGTTAGAACACCAATTGTTGCAAAAATCTTACTTTCTGGAGCTAAGTGACTACATTTTTGGACTAACTTTAACAAATTCAATAATGATGTATTTCTTCAAAAAAAATATTTTTTATTAATGTATTGTTTAAAAAGTGAAAATAGGAGATATTGGATTCAGAGAAAGCTTGTGGTATATAAACTTAATTATTGAAACACACATTCTAGAGGTAAGAAAAAGGAAGAAGAAGAAGTCAATTCAACGAACCAAACATTCCCATTTTGAGCAGAACACCTTTACTAATTCTTTGATTTCAGTTACTAAGATGATATGAAAAATTTACCTTAAAAACTTTTAAAATGTTATCTAGAGCAATTGCAGTAACCGTTTTCATTGATATTCTTGCTATAATAGATTCCATTACGTATGCAATCATAATCAATTCAATGAAATTGTTTGATCTTAAAGGGAATATTGCATAATTTCACATTTTGAAGGGTTATTTCTTGATTTCGCACGGTACAAAAATGTGTTATTTGAAACTGTCCAATTGTCGTTATTTATCAACGGGCATTTAGTTCAATGGTATAACTCCTCAATTTTCAAAGAGAAGGAGAGGGATTCAAGTTCACGTGTAAGCAAAAAGTATGTATGAGTAAATTTCTTGTCAAGATAAAATAAAAATAAAAATAACAATAAAAAATTCTGTTATTTCATTTCATTGTCTTAGCCAAATCTTTCTTAAGCATAGCCATAGCTTAGTCTTAGTCATAGTTCTACCCGAGCCTTAATTAGTCTAGTTAGCCATAACTTTACTCATCAAATCTTGTATCCAAATTTCATTTTCTTGTACGAATTGCTCAATTATATAATGAATGTGTTCTATGAATGAAACTAATTCTGTTTTGAGCTCCTTTTGGTCTATTTGTTACTAATTTCATACTTGTTTTTGAGCTCATTATAAAAGGAAAATGAAAAATGAACTGGGTACAAACGTATTATTAAAATTAAAAACAACATTTAATTAAATTTTCAATGTCCTGCCTTTGAAAATTATAAGGAAAGTGGACCTAATACAAAGTAACCTTTAAGTGCATAAGGTAAATTACATTCAAATTTTTTTTTTTTTTTTTTAATTCAGAATTACATGCAAAATCGAAATGGAATTCACTGTATCTTCTCATTAACGCATCTCCCTATCTCTCTAAGGTATACCATATCCTATTTAAACTCAACAAGGGTTAGACATTCGCATTTAGCGTGCAAGATTACCTATCCACTTTTGGTGTCCAACGTAACTATTCACTTTTTTTCCCACTATTTATTTTATATTTTATTATTTAATTTCAGAGAGAGAGAGATTCAAATGCAACAGCTTTTAGTACTCTCTACTTCATTAGTTGTATACACATATCATGATAGAGAATGACATGTGAAGCCGCTAATTTTGCCCTAACAATAACAAACCAAAATCTTTGTTACTGCAGTGATAAAAAAAGTGAGGGCAAATAAATATTCATGGGAAGAGTGAATCTTTCATTGTGCTTTCTCAGTTTCATGCTATTCCTGGTGGTCTGTTCTGGCTCTCAAGGCTTGTTGCATGCAGTTTCAGTAAGTGTTTCACTCACTTTTAGTTCAATGCAACTTCTTATCATACATTTCAAACCATAGTTTTTGTTTCGACTTGACAATGAATTTTGATTTCAATGATACCATATACATGTGTGTAGCTGTGGTCCGAATTTTGTTTATTTTTTATTAGATTAAAAAAAAAAAAAAAAAATTGACCCTTTTTTTTTTTTTTTTTCCTTGAGGGTCCTAGATATGAAATCTAGTCTCTATTGTAACCGGTGTACAAGAGTACGTACGAGGCACGGACCCATGAAAAAAATATATATTTACAAAATTACTTATAAATTTTGTAAAAATCTTAAAAATGTTCCTATTTTTTTAATAAAAATTTTAAATATGCCTCACTCAATTTCTAATGATACCCCATAATATATTATTGTTGTTCAAAATCGCCCCTCATACAATTCTTAAATGCCATTCACTGTATGTAGTGAACGGAACTAAGAAAGTGAGAGAGATAAAGAGTTGGGGACTTGATAGCTTGTAATGTTGTTCTTTCCACGGTAAAATCTCTTCAAGGACATGGATAGAGCCGGTTGAGGCTTAGGGGGGCATGTGCCCCTCAACTTTTTAAAAATTGTATTTTTATAATAATTTTTAAAATTTTAAAATTTGCCCCCCAACTTTAAAAAATTTCATTTTTGCATGTACATTTCCGCCACCCCTCAACTTTACAAATTTTAATTTTTGTATGTATATTTTTTAAAAATTTTAATTTCTGCCCCCTTAACTTTACAAAATTTCATTTTTGTATGTATAATTCTATAAAATTTTAAAATTTCCCTGCCTCAAAATTTTTTATTGCATTGTGCCTCCTGAACTTAATTTCAGGCTCCGTCTCTGTTTATGGATCTTCGTCGCGGACATGTAGACTAAAAACTTAATAACGTAAATATTTGTACTTTGTGTGGCGCATGATTTTATGTTCTCTGTTAATTCGTTATTGTATTATTGGTTGTATTATTGGTTTTGCGTAATTTACCATAACTTGTTTGTGCATATATGCAGAACAAGGCCTGGTGTATCGCACAAGTGAGAGCACCAGTTGCTAAGATGCAGGATGCTAAACGAATTTACTGCGCAAAAGTGGACTGTAGAGCTATAATGCCCGGGGGCTCATGTTATACCCCCAACACTTTGTATAATCATGCATCGTATGCCCTTGATGCCCACTATAGGGTTTCTAATGATTGCCCTTTTGATGTTGTCACACCAGCCTTCAACGACCCTTGTAAGTTTCTCTCATTCTCTCTCTTCCACGCCTCTCTCTCTCTCTCTCTCTATATATATATATATGTATATTTGTGTATATCTCATTTGTATGTGCTTGTTTGGATGCAGCTTTTGGTAAGTGCCATTACCCATGAGAAGTGGGTGACCAGTACTGACCAATGAGGCAAGGACAGTTTAGTTCCAACAATAAACAAAATGTATGAAATGGAATTCTTGTTCTTTATGAACTTGTACTAGAAAATGTGTCTTGTATGCAATATATATGGAATGAGATATATTGAAAAGTACTATTGGATACAAATTTTTGTTCTTTCCTTGTGATTTTATAAAATTTCCTATGAATGAATACAAAAGGGCCATGCCTATATAATCTTTTACATCTGTTATATGAATGTGGTTCTCAAACATGAAACATTGCATAACTTACTGAAAAACAAACAAACAAACATGAAACATTGCATAGGATGAAGAACACAAATGAGGAAAAAGAACAATGTTCAATAAAGAACAAAAAGTTCTGTGTTAAATCCAAAAAGTAAAAGGGTAAATTTCATTTACATAGATCCCTCTATGTTTCATAAATTCACAAACCTCCTTATTGTTAGTCACCTCACGGGAACAAATAGAATCTACTGGTGTTAGCAACAAAAAATATATAAAAGGTCAATTTTGTCCTTCTATTGCCTGAAATTACAGCAAACATTTCATGAGCAAAATGGTAAAATAATACACTACATTTACCGAGTTGGACTGCCATCACTGGCAGGAGAGGTGAGTGGAATTATGAATGTGAAATATTGACAAACCTAGGGGTAGGTAAGTAAAATTTACCCAAATAAAAATAAAAAGCTAAAATGAACTACAAATTTAAATCCAAATTTCAGTAAATGAAAGCAAATGTTAAGAATGGAAAAACTGGATTCACTCCATTGCATTTCCAAAATAATCTTCGGACAAGATGAAAAAAAATTCACACTAGCTTGTGTAAGATTATAGAGTTTAACAATTGAATAGTAAAAAATATCCAAAAACACTTCAGTAGGACAGCTCAAGTGATCTAGTTCACAACTCTACAATTCTTCCTGATCTCCCCCAAGCTGCCTGTGAGAACATCAATGGAACCCATTCGTATCATTGCAGCCGCGAACTCATCAGCCCAAGCTGCACCATGTTTCGCATGGTGCCTCACAATCCTTGCTGTCGAAGGGCTTGTCAAAAGTGTTTGATCCGATGTCAACACTCCATGGTTGTTCTTCAAATCTCTGTAGTAGTTCTTATCCAAACTATTTGGTGTGATAACATCCAATGGCACAGTTGGATCGATTCCATCTCCTGCGTTGGACGGTGGACGACACTTCCTTTTCAATCCGCGAGCAAAATTGGAGTCCATTGAAGGATCTTGCGAGTGAGTGGCGTTGAAGGAGTAAAGCCGGTCTGAGAAAGACGAACAATGTGAGACTCCAATGGAATGTGCCCCCGAGAGGGTGACCATTTCGTCTAGAGTGAGACCTTTGCGCGCGAAATTCTCCTCAAGTTGTTTGGCATTGAAGAAAGGAGGGGGGAGGTGTTGGAAAGGCTCGTCCCTGATTGACACTCTCCCGTCGCGACGCCCTGATGGCACATCATAGAATATTCCCCCAGCTTCGAATGCGCTGTCTCGTGCTGCAAAAGTGAGGATGTCAGCGCATGACACTGTTTCTGGACATAGAGCTTCAAGCTCGGCCTTGGCCTCGTCGATCACTTCAAAACCTCGCAAGCTTGGATTGTTGACTGGATTTTCTTTCTCTGATGGATTGCCAGGGGTTGAATCAAGGAGGATAGAAGCATCACAACCCTGAAACAAAGAAAATACATCACATGATGATTAGTTCAACCACCTTTATACTTTTGAAGCAAGTTAGATATATATAACTATTAAAATTAAAATAAATAAATAAACACTTCGATATTGACTTCTGATGTATATAGTTTTTTTTTTTTTTTGGAAAGGTCTTCAGTGGAGTTAATTACTCCCACAAACATGTAGGGCAGGTAGAAGTTTAGCATTAGCGCAGATGGTATATATATGATCTATCTCTCTTCTCCTAAAAAGAAGTTGAGTATTCCTGTTAGAGGAAATATTGTGGGTGACAAAAAAAAAAAAAAAAAACATACCCTGACAAAACAGTCATGGAAATGCATTCGAATGAGGCCTGCAGCTATGCCAGGATTGAATAACACAGCTCTAGTCACAGCTATTGTCACAATTGCCTCTGCAAGTGGGCAACTTGATTGGTAGAAGCCCACTTCGAGTGATGCCGATGAGACAGAGCTCGTTGTAGAAATGGTGAGAAAGAAAATCAAGCATGAGAGTAGATTTGACATTTTCAGTACTCCACCACACATCATTGTGTGAGGAACAAAAAAGATCAAATGACCATGGATATTGTTTAGGACAATGGATCGAAGATACTGTGTGCCTGTGTGTGTATAGAGAGAGAAGTGGATGTGGGGATGGAGAGGAGTGATGCTTATGAGAGTATATATAGATGGAGAGAATGCGATCGAAGATGGTGCTTGGTTGGTTTTACTTTGTAATCCAAAACCGTGTATAGCTAGCTGCAAATACAAAACAGAACAGATCGAAGGTATTCAAGTTTGAACTGTTCAATATATATATATATATTTTCTTCCATGATTGTCAATTTTACCTACTCTTCCATTTGTTGTAGTTTCAGTGAGCTTCAGTTACAATTTTCCTTGAGTTTCAAATTTGTCCAACTGTCGTTTAGGAGGACAATGGTTAAAATCCCAAAACAACCCACATAATAATATGTGTCAAAAAGTTCAAAATAGGTTTATATTAAGGGTCAAATTGACTTTTCATTGGTGACACCCCATAATATGTATATATTTTATTGCAGGCTACTCAAAGTCTCAAACAGTTCTTTTATCTGTATTTTTAACTTGTCGGTTGTCTTAGATAATCCTGAGAATGGTAGACGCGGTTTAATGTGACTGAATTAATCAATAAAAGAAGCAATCATATATATATATATATATATACACACACGCACAGAGTAGTTGGAAAACAACAAGAAAGTACACTGGAGAGCTAGGGGTGGGCCACGAGGGGACCATGGCTCTCCAAATGTTTTCAATTTCTTCTTATGCCACTACAAAAATATTATCTTATATAAATATCCCTCCTTGTGGCTTCCAAAATTCTTAAAAAAAAAAAATTTAATTGGCTCACTAAAAATTAAACAATACTTAAGTTTCGCTAGTGAGAATTTGCATCATACTTACCGCTGATGTGGATGCAGACTAATAACAAATGGACATGTGATCTTTAATTACTAAAAATCAAATATGGTGAGGGAAATATTCATTTACCAAATCAGAGATAATGATTTGATTATCATTTATGATTTAATAATTAAAATAAGACTCGTATTCGTTTATTATTAATCCATATCAACGGTGAATATATTGTAGACATTCTCACCAGTGAAGACCTAAATATTGTCCTTAAATAAATAACTGCACAGAATGTGTAAATTCTTCTTTCGTGTTAATATATATATATATATTTAAAATTAAGCAAATAAGGATATTTTGTCAATATGAATATTAGAATACCTAAAACGCTTTTAAGACAAAATAAAAATAAAATACCAAGTATTAAGAGTATTTGAGAGTTTTAACTAAAAAAAAATAAATAAATAAATAAATTGATTGTCAAGGATAATTTGTAATATTTTGAAATATTAAGAATTTATATACATATTACATGTCGTTTTTGTACAATTTTTTATAGAGTAGGAATTTTTTTTTTTTTTATTTGCAGTTCACCCGAAACAAATATAAGTGACTTTACTATTTGAAAGATTAATATATCTTACCGAGACAAGAGAACCACATCTCGAATTGAGTGTGCCCATTATATGCATTATAGTGAAAGTGGCCCATTAGATGCATTATAATCGGTATAATGCAGCTAATTATCATTACTGGTTTGACGAGTGAATCACATCCCAAATTGAGTGTTCCCATTATATGCATTATAATCACTCTAATGCCGCTAATGATCATTACCAAATCGGACGGTTATTCGGCTCACTGTTTCGATGAGCCAATCTTTATTTCCTGTCGAATTTTGGTGACTCTATTATTATTCTTAAAAATTAACGAATAAATAAATAAAAATAAATAAAAAAAACTTGGTAACCATTAATCTTTTTGGAATTTTATTGTCACTATAAACTAATTTCAAAAAAACTTGGTAACTATTAATCTTTTTGGAAATTTATGGTCCGTTTAGGTTTATTATTATTATTATTATTATTAATTTTTTTTTGAGTAAAATAAGTTTAATTATAACAAAATGCCATAGCTTTTTTTATTTCCTAAGAATTTTCCTTAAGAACCCTAGCTTTTTTTTTTTCTTTTTTTTTTTGGTAAAGTACAATTACATTCCCTAAGGTTTGACATATGACAGTTATATATTACAAGTTAGTTATTTTTTGAATAATAACACCCTGATGTTTGACATATGACAGTCATATACAAATTAGTTATGTTTTGGACAATGACACCTCTGAAGTTTGAAAAAGTTGACAAAGACATTTCTGTAGCAACCTGCCACATATGACACATCAAGAATGGACCAACTTGCCATTTGATTGTTTAATATACCTTTTTAACTTTACAATTTAATGAATTGGACTAATCTACCCTTCATTAAAATTTGATGCAAAGAAGTTGAAACGTTAAGTTAGAGAAAATTTTCGCACAGCAGTAAATAAAAAATTTATGAAAATTCGTTTGAAACATAAATGGAGTAAACAAATATGTTTTGGAAAGCAAACCATGGGAGTATAAAATTGAAAATTTTGGTGTTGATCCGATATCTAGAAGGCTATCAAATAAATAAATTAAAAATATGATTTCAGTTAGACACCTTTTTTTTTTTTTTTTGACACACATTAGTCTTCCCCCTCATCAACTGTCAAAACTGGTTAGAGACATTTTTTGTTGAACCTGGCGAAAAATTTCCAAGTGAGCAGCTATAAATAGATGTATAATGAGGTCGAATTCTCCACCAAAAAAGAATATTAGGATTTTTATAAATAGATGAATAATAAAAAAAGTTATATGTATTTTTTTTTTTTTTTTTTCCAATAAGGGTATTTCTTGCACATTTTTTATATAACAGAGTATTTTTTGCACTTAACCCTTAACAAAAATACAATAATTTACTAGACAAAGTTGAAAACGAGCCTGAATCTATTTTGAACATAAGTTCAATTTATTTATTTTTTTAATTTTGTTTTACCAATTCAACTAAATATGTTATTTAAGCTCATATAGACATTAAATAATAACAACTAAAAAACTAAATAAAACCAAATTAAATTCAGAATCTTACACTAATATCCAATAGCTCTTTATTTTTTTTTGATAAAATAAAAACAATAGAGGAAATATAGTACTAAAATGCATTCAATTTTGGGCCCGGCCGTGTAAAAAACCAATTGATTAGCATCCTGCATGTGTCTACAATGTCCAGAGGAAATTATAAATCTCTTCATATATGCGAGTTTGATCAAATTTCATTGTGATTGGTAGGAAAGACTAACTCAAACTTTTGTTTGCTAAATAATAATAAATAAATAAAACACAAAAATTAGCAAAAAATGAAGCACGTTAGGTGGAAGAGTGCTTGGTTCAAATATGAATGGCCCGAATGGGCAAGTACAGGAAGAACTAGAACTTTAGATAAAAAGAATAAAACTGAAATTTTTTAGTGAAAAAATAATAATAACATAATATATTAGTAAAAAAATTAAAAATTCAGAGGGACAATTGCCCACCTCACTTGCTAAAAGGTCCGTGACGTCTGTACTGGGCAAGTAGTTTTTGGGTGATTTATTTTTTATTTTATAAGAAAATTAATAATGGGGATTTAAAGGTATATATTTGTATTTATTTAATTATTTTATTAATAACATAAAATATATTAAATAACGATACGAATTCCAAAAATTTCAATCCAAACGTAAGAGCAATTTCGACTCAAAAACCTTTGGATGGTAATATATATGCAATTTCTAAAAAAAAAATTAAAAGAAAAAATATATATTTGGAAAGATAGAAGAAAGTGAAAGGGAAAGGAAGTGAATAGAAGAAGAAAATAAATTTTTTAACATTCATTCAGTTGGCATGATAAGGTTTTTATTTATTTTTATTTATTTAGAGATATTCTCCGAAGATCTATTACATTTTTCTAGAATTTTGGATAATAGTTAAACAAAATCTGTATGATCTAGAATATTAGGATTTTTTCTTTGAACTAGTAAAAATCTAAGATACATTTTTCTAGAATTTTGGATAATGGTTACACAAAATCTGTATGATCTAGAATATTAGGTTTTTTATAATTGGCCAAAATTTTCAGTGGCTATAAATTGGATTCCTTTACTTGCTTTGATTGAATGTGGGATCTTGGTTTCAAAACATCAATCTTCGAATCATCTCCCTCCATCTTCCCGTCTGTAGAAGGTATATCGGAGACCCCGACGATGGCAACGTCGGCGAGGTTCGACAGGCCATGACCATTAACATTCTTCTGACATACAACCAATTAACATTCTTCTGACATACAACCAATTAGGGTTAGGTTTAGTGGTTGGGTTAAATTACTAAAAATTAAAATTACCTCTACTGCAGTGAAATCCACTTTAGCATCTTTCTCAGGATGAGCACCGGAGATATCGTCGGCGCCGTTCTTTCTTCCCTTTTTCATCTTCTCAATTTTAGGTTATTATTTTCTTAACTAAGTTTATAACTGATACGATAAACTATTAAATAAGTGGTGCAATATTTTGCAATGCTATCTTTAAAATGTTTTTGAAATTAAATTTAAACTGGAAAAAAAAATATAGGCCTACCAATGGTTGTTGTAAAAGTAAAATAAAATAAACTTGTCAAATACATATTAAGCGCGCCCAAAATTTTGAAACTCCTATTTAATAGGTGCAGAATATCAATTTGAAATCTTTTTAAGTGTTATTTTTAAAAATCCAAATTTATATATATATAAAAGTAAAGATACCCATATTTGTATGAAAGACCTATTTTTCTGCTGATATATCCGGCGTATTACTAGTAGTTTTTATTCTTTGATATTTTGATGATCCCATATCTTCTCCTTATTTTATTATTTTTGAACTTTAAATTTTTTCTCACGTATATATAAATATATATTGACACTATGGTATTGGAGTGGATAGATAAAGAGATAGGGGCCTAACTCATTAAAAAAAAAAAAGGGTTGACCCGACAGCCCAACCAACTCAAAAATATTTGATTTGGACTTCATGGGTTGAAACCCGAATTCGAGT